CTCTCTCTCTCTCTCTCTCTCTCTCTCTCTCTCTCTCTCTCTCTCTCTCTCTCTCTCTCTCTCTCTCTCTCCCCACATAATAGTATCAATTACATTGTTATTACAACACTCCGATCGATATTTCAATAGATAATGTGTTCCGGATTGTGTGATAGCTTAGAGTTCATGTTCAGAGTACCTACCACAAAAAACCAGTGTTTGTCAACTTGATTTTTGAATCCTCATCTTCTACATATAGTGACTCTGATTAATATTCGAACACCTTTTAAAACGCAATAGAATTGCCTTTATTAGAACTGGACTAAACTACTTGAATTTCTCTTGGATGATAGAGGGACCAGTCTATCAGACCATAATCAGAATGCATTTTTAAAATTTTCCTATTGCTTAAAATAACAAAAAAAAATTTTTTTAAACTCTTCTTTTGGACTATTTTATCTGAACTTATAACGAAAATTTAAAAAATGCGAAAGTTACGACTTATTTGTTCAATATATTGATTATTTAGGGCAAGTATTATAATAAGAATCGTTAAAAATCCAGATGAATATATTATTGCTACTTTTATAAAGTAATATGAAGCAGTTTCTTTTAGTGCTTCATAAATCTAGCGTAAAACTTCGTTAAGGAGGCATAGCGAATTTAAGAGATGATTCACAAAATATTGATGTTACATATTGTTCGTGCATTGAAATATGTTCTCCTATCGCATTCTTATGCCTGCATTTTTGCAGACAATAAGATTGACCTAACTCTGGTCTACGGAACTTAAAGCTATTTATTTGTGCACTCAATGATAATACTAACTTTTATGTGTACATATTATCCACACACTTACTTACTTACTTGTTAGTGAACTTTATTATTCTTGCAATGTCTTTTGATATTCATAAAAATGTATGAATACAATGATAATTTTTCAAATGTATTATTCAAAGAATTAGCGTAACCCCTTGTACTATAACATCTTGATCTATTAAAAGTAAATATCATACACCTCCTATTTAAGCATTAAAGCGAACGTTGACATGCGATAAATATAAATTTTCTTTCTCGTCTAGGAATTTGTTGCTGACAAAGTAATGGTAATCAACGTAGAAATCGTTGTGTGACAGATTTAAAGCGTAATAAACTATCGGTAAAATTTTCGGAAGAAAGACGAGGTTGAAAGTCGCTGCTCGCTTCTCGGTGCCCGCTGCGGCATAGGTCGACAAGATAGCATCGAGTGTTCAACTATGCGGTTAATTTGAAACTGAGCCCCAAAGAACCGTAATTCGGCAAAACTTGGGGTCGTATGGTTAGGGTCGTACACTATGTATATAAACGAATTCATTGGTCGGCTGCAGTTCAACTTTCGACGCGTAACGGACAAGAAACATGAGAGACTTCAGTATACGGAGCATATTAGCAAACACGATTGCAATTGGTGACGAATACGAAAATTGTCAATCTCGAAAGAACGATGAAATGGACGAAACGACCGATTCGGGAATTAGTGCGACGAGAATGTGTTCGACAAGACAAAAACATCATCTGCCCACAGAAAATCGGCCTGATGATTTTAAAATGATGAGTTTAAGAAAGAATAGTGACATTGACACGCAACGGTTTTTAAATGGGCAAATTATTTACGAATGCAGTCAACGAAATGACAAGTCACCAAACAATTCTAATGATCATTTTGATACCGATACTGACGGGAAACAAGTGAGCAACGACTTACGCAAATTCTTGGAACGCGTTCCTCAAAACAAATTTCATTCCAATCAGGTTAATGATGAAATTATTAACGTGGAAGTTGAAGCGCCTGGCAAGGCAAGGTCGAAGAGATATTTCTTTACGGAGTTCAACTTGAGTGGCAAGTGCGTGAACAATAATTTGTCGAATGAACAGCAAAGAAGGAACTCCGCGCGAACATTGGGAACAAATAATAAAATAAAATGTGAAACGCATCGTGGAAGACGCGATCATTGGCAGATAAATCGGTCGAATGAAAACCGTGGCAGCAAACTGCTAGGTCAACCGGGAGAACAATCGGGTCATTTGATAATCGACGCGAAGAGTGATTGTTTATCGTCGAATATTCCGAAGAACAATCAGCACGAACTTTTCAAAGGTGATACAGAAAGTCTGCAGGTGCTTCAAAACAAATTCAAGTGGCTTCACTGCACGAGATACAAACCACCGACAGTTCCTAGAAAATCGAGATCCGACAAGCACAAAAGACGAGATGGCCTGCAGCCTCGTATACCGATTTCAATGTTCCAACTTGACATACTTGAACGAAAATATTGCAACGGCGCTTATCTCTCGAGAAACGACTTACTCGAACTTTCGTCCACTTTGAAACTTCCTCCTAAAAAGGTAACACACCTCAAACAAAAGGATTTTATAACATTTATTTTCTTTTTCCTATTCTTTACAAATGCCACCCTGTTATTTTTGTTAAACTTGGCGAGGGAGACTGTGAACTGTTGATGCATTCGGGATAAAAAGATCGTGTTGCCGAAGCTAAATAATAATTCGGCTATCGTTCCCTGCATCTGGAATCAGAGAAAAGAAGTCCATTAGAGAAATATAGTATAAATAGAGAGAGAAAATAATTTTCCTGGGAATATTTTTTATTCATGAATAATAGAAGAATTCATTATAATACTATGTTACTATATGTATTACAGTTAACTACAGAGCAGTTTTGAAAGAATGTTAATATTCGAATGCATTTTTTAAATTTTCGTTAGAGGCTTAGACAAAACAGTTGAAAAATATGACTTTTTTATATTTTTTTTTGCCATTCCAAGTAATAGCAAAATTTTAAAAAAGTATTATAGCCATTGTCTACTAGGCTGATGCATCTATTACCTAAAAAAGATTCAAGTCATTTAGTCCAATTTTAAAAAAAGTTACACCAGTTTTCAAGTTTTTCTATCCAAGTATATGCTCGCTACTGTATGCCAATGAAAACATTTCTTGTGTCCAGAAAATTTGTGTCCAAAAGTGTCCATTATTATTATTATTTATACGTTGGTTGCACGAATACAGCTGAGAGATGTTTTCTACGGCTATTAACATTTTATTCTCATCTTTTTTGTATTTTTAAACGATGTAAAAAAAACTGCTTTGTAGATACATGTAATATACATAGTTCATACTATGTATATATAATATACTATTCACTATTATTAGTGAATTTTATTAATTATACATAAAAAATATACTTCGGAAAATTGTCTTTTTTTCTTGTTCGTACTACATTTTCATAATGTACGAATACGACTTGTTTTTGAACTCAAAACCAATTTTTTTTCTTATTTCAATCAAAAAATCAATGTGATCTCGTGAAACATGTAAACTGTTTCAAATCTATTGTATAATCAAGTATACTTAAGATCCAATGTAAATATTACTAGCTACAGTTTTTCACAAATATCTCGGAAACTAAAAGATAACGACGTTTTTCGCAAAGAAGAGAGTTGTTCAAAATGTAAAATGTTGGAATTCTGTATTAAATATTTAGAGTGTAAAAGGTCTAAATATAACTGTAGAAAACAGTATGTTTTGTGACTATTCTATTCTGACTATCTCTCTATTACTAAACAGTGATGCACACAAAATATAATACAAAAGATAGTAAAACAAGATACAATAATTCTCGTAATCGTATGCCAAAGCCGTAAGTCGTATTCGTTATAATTTGGCTGTTTGATCCGATCAGCGCCTAACGCCCGTCGATCGTCCTAGCAGCGTCGCGATGTTTAGATCGCGACGCTCTGTATGCACGCACACGTATGTCACGTGAGATTAACGCTCGGGAGTCCGCGAGCACCGATTAGAAATAGATTAGAAATAGATATAGATTAGAAATAGGTATACGTATATACACGAAATTAGACGACCGAATTTCAATGTCTGTTGAACATAAATTTTTTTGTTTCGAAGAGTTGTCAAGTTGATGTTAACGAAGGGCGCAAGTAACTTTTTCCTTAGCGCCAGGCGGCCGAGCTCGTCTCTCATTGGTCAGGGTTTTTCGTTAATTACTCGTAAACAAAGCTGCGGATTGCATTTGCACTGAGTTAAAAATTACTTCAAATGGCCTTAGGAATCCTTCATTTCCCGATTTTAAGTAACTTTTGGGACACCCTGTATTTAACATTTGTCAATTTTACGAATATCTGCATGCAACCCGACATAAAAAAACGATAATTCATTATAAACATATCATCTTAAAATTCGGAAAAAGAATTGGCATAACAGTAACCTATTTTATAACCTTTCTTTAAATTACATCATAATTGATGAGTTAGTAAAGGAACAAAAAAAAGCTTGACATTCTGTACGTTTTAAGAACGTCCTGATGACGACCATGTGTCCCATATACACTTACTGACAAAAGTTAAGAAACATCGTAATCGTTTGTTACATTTCAGTATTGTCAGTTAGTGTATGTACATCCTCATTACGTTCTGTAAATGTTCTAAGAAGGTCTCAGTTACAAAGTAGAACGTCCGAAGGACGTCCTGTGCCGACATACATTAACATCCGAAAATAATTTATTCTGTATGTTTACAGAACGTTTATAAAATGTTTAAAAACCCTGTAGTAACCCCTTTAGAGACGTGTACGAAACGTTATGCGAATGCTGAAAATTACTACATAAAATACAAGGTGTCCCAGTTTCTTCCTGTATAACTTTGTTCATATAACATTTGCTCTTAAATTTTTTATTAAGGAGTTACAACTAATAATACAAAATGATAATAAATTAGCATTTCGTCGACATAGCGTTCGAACGTATCATCAGTATTACAGAAACTCAAATAATCTCATTGAAGCTGTGTGTGTTTACTAGCAAAACTACATTCAACATAATTAAACAAAATAACAGTAGACCTTCTTAACGTAATAACATCTTGAAATAACAGCCCATTATTACGAATACAGAATTGTCATCTAACAACAATTTTTTCTATCACATTATTAACTACTTTATTTTCTCTAATCGCAGCAAATGTGTCATTAACCTTTTGTATTAACTGCTTACGAGTGTGAATTTGTGCTTCATAAACTTTTCTTTCACTTATCTCCACACGTAGAAACGTAGAAATTCATTGATGTCTGGTGATTTTGGAAGCCTTGAGGTTGCTCCTTGTCGACTTATCAATCGTTATGGATGATGATTATTTATCCACTGCATTTATCCAGACAACTGTCTAATTGAATTCGTAAATTTTGTCGAAGTAATAATGGAATATCTTGTTCTGCCTCAAATTTGTATTCTAAGAAATTCAAGAAAGACTGTGCTGTTAACCCTCTATGGGCTGAATTTTTTTCTTAAATATAAAAAAATGTATGCAACAGAAAATCTATTATTATAAACCTATATATGCTAATTAAGAAAATATTTAACAGTCTAAACAGCTTTATTATAATTAATTCAATTTGTAACTTTGAAATAACAACGGCTTATAATGTTTCCACTTCTGTGTATAAATGCTTAAGCGTGAAATTCCATAAAACAGTTTGAATTTGGCGTTAAACATAGATGTACGTTGCATTTGGAACATTTTATTTTTGAAACTCCTTTACACTCCGGCTTTTTGCAGTGCCCTCTGTTGTCCGAAAAAATTGGCCAATGTGCTACTTCATCTTTTCGCACGTTTTATCATCACTGTCAATAATATTTATGCGTCGTCTGGTAAATGCTACTGGATGATCGTCATCGGACTCAGAATCTAATAAAGAATCTTCGGATCTATTACTGCTAATGCGTTTAATTCTAATTCATCTTTTATTTTTATACGATTTTGTATCCATATTTTGGGGATATTTGATATATAAATTTGAAAATAGAAGAAAGCACAACTATTATCCTAAATACACTCAAATTTACCACAATATCCCAATGTAACCTGAAAGTTACAAAACTGTATCATATACAAATAGTAACAAAATGATTATTGAAATGCAAATAAATAAATTGTTATTGATATACGAACCTAGAGCTATTATATACGCTTCTTTTTATTTAGTAAACATCGATAAAAGCACAAATAATCTCAATTGCACAAGATGATCCCTTTGGTTTCTATCTGCAGACAACTTGCAAGGTATTTATTTTAACATTTCAGGTTGATGGTGCTGCCAACCGTCATCAATATTGTTATTGGTTATTTCAGAGGCATTATATAATTAAGACGTATACATCATCTTGTGAAAAAAAACTAAAACTATTTGGTAAAATATGGATATATTTTAGTTTGTGACTTGAAAGTTACATGGGCCCATAGAAAGTTGATGTGTTCGGTAAAAGGCGAGGTCTCAATATCCTGCCATTGCATTTTTCTGCCGGTATGTTGCACTTGAATTGAATTGAAACCCTCTCACGCGGACATAGTGTGGATTTTTAGTCTCCACTGGCAACCATTACGCACATTTGAAATACCGGATCTCGTAAAAGTTGTCTCATCGGTTTAGAGCATTTGTGATTGAAAATCATTATTATTGCGAACTACGCGTACGTACCACTCAAAAAAACGTATCCCCCTTTTATAATCTCCAGACAATAATCTCGGATTATTCTCAAAGATGTTTCAATTCTTCGACAGCGATTTCGATTACGTGCTACTGATCCATAAAATTGATTTTCTTAACTTATATCATGAACTGAACCGGTATCGCCTAGTTATAGATTAATTCTTGCAAACACTGGTCGATGTAATATTCTTCTATGACGGAATTTTCGCTGATATTCCCTTATAGTAGCTGGAGCATTTCCATTACAAAAACCATAAATGAAATGCATATCAGCGTATTCACGACTGGAAAATTCTCACGGCATCTTGATATGAAATCGTACAGCGTTCTAAACATTATTAGCTCAACAGACATTAATGACGATATCAATTATAGTCCTCACGCAACAAGAAGGCATCTTTGTGTTTACATTCCTCCTCTTACTAGCTATCCCACTGCCGCATCTAGCAAAAGAGGGAATGTAAATACAATCGTGCCGTCCTGTCGCGTGAGGACTAGTAAACATAAGAATTTATGTAATCAATTCATTATCATTTAGTTTATTAATTATAACTGATATATAATAATAAATAAAATAATAATAATAAAACATTTAAGAGCATATGTTTATATAACTTTTTTTTTCTTACTTTTATTTGTAGAACACGCTGGCAAAGTCATGCCGGAAAAATATGGGTCACATTGTATATATTTCTAGTGATTCCAGGCGTGATAAAATATCAGTCATTAAAAAACGTAATAAATACTGTTGTTGTATAATTATTTTTAAGCATTTTTCAATGTTGTTGGGACAAGCTGAATGAGTTTGTTGTTGATTTTCTGGAAATTTAGATTTTTTATATATCGTGATTACAAATATGTACTTTCATATTTAAATTAATTTATATATATATATGTTTAGCTCGCCCATAGTTACAGAATTCATTGAAATACGTGCGTATTCATGGGTGTTAACTGAAAAGTGTGATCATATTTTTAGACAGATATAATAAATACAAATGGAAAAAAGTTAAACAATTAGCATAAAATAGAGTAATTTTTTTTTGAATGCACAATTTGGGAAGAGGAGATACAATTATTCGAGCCTCGCGGCTAATTTTTATAGTTGTCGATTGTCAGCAACTATAAAAACGAGCCGCAAAGCTCGAATAATCGTATCTCCTCTTCCAAAAGTGTCCATTTTTGTTTATACGCTGAAGGACAATTGGGGAGAATTTACTGTAATTACTATACATATGTGCTAAAAGTGCTGAACTATGAAGCTGGATTTCAAAGCATAAAAGAAAAGTTATCTGTACATACTTATAAAAAACAGTGTAGTAATAGGAAAACGATAACTTTACCTTGAATTTCTAATTTAACATATTTTTTAGAAACATCTCTAATATTAAAAATTTCGAAAGGACCTAAAGAAGAAGATTCTATCAAGATGTTTAGGCAATTGTTGTTTAGATATTTTGGTACCAACTATTTTGTATGATCTAGT